ATTTCGCCGATTTCACCAGGATCAGGGTTTTCCATAATAGTCAGGCTGTAGAGACAAGGGACAGGACCATGAAAGGAAAGGCGAGGCTGGTGGCCCAGGAAACCCAAGCCTGGTCTCAGGCTGGTGAAGAGGTGGATGATGGCGCAAGTGGGGAATCAGTGGGCCCCGTGGCTGGAAGGCTCACTGGGGGCTGATCTGGACAGATGGGAGGTGGGTGAGGTCCTGGGAGCCGAGGTGCTGGAGACAGGGCGGGCGTGGCCAATGATGAGCCCTAGGGTGTGACTCTGACAATGGGCACTGAAGGGGTTGGAGGGAGGTGCCGTTGGAAAATTGTAGTAAGTGAGAAGAGACAAAAATAGGAGGACCAGAAGGAAAGCCACTTCTCAGAGAACAGTAACGGGTTCAACTTTGGGCCAATAATCACAATTTAGAGTCGACAGCAGCTTCAGAGGCCACGTGACAGAGAAGGAACCCAAGGCCCCAAAAGCGGCCATGGAGACCAGACCGAGGGGTTCTGGCCACGGCTCTGTGCCTTTCGTAAAGGCAGCCTTATGTCTGCACTCACCTGTGCTTCGATCGCCAGGAGCCCTGCAATTGCCATGAACAGTATCTGCAGAAGCTCCTTTTGGCACCTGGGAGGGCACCTCTCACCAGTACTCCAAGACCTTGGCCATCGCGGCGGACCGCAGGGTGGACGCTGGGTGGGCTGTACCACGGCCTCGGCCACTGCCTACAGATCCAGGCTCCCTGAAGCCTGCTGGGCTGGTGGCCTCGGAGGACCGGTGAGCTGCGTCTGCCTGGGCTCATGAAAGGCCGCTCCCACGTTTTGGTTTTGCTTTGGTACATAGAACCCAGGCCCTCTGTTGCCACAAGAGGGCCCCCCAGCCCCAGCTCACTGAGGCCTTCCCGTGGAGGAGCGTATCCTGTCCGGTCCGCAGCTCAAATATCCAGAGCTCGGGAGACCCTGGCCCTGTGCCCCACCGTGCCCCAGCTGGGCCACACTGTCCCCTCCACCACATCCGGCAAGCCCCTCCCGGCGCTGCACTCAGTCCTGGGTGTCAGAGGGTCCTCTGGCTTCACTTGTCACATTTAATGAGGAACCAGAAATCAAATGTATCCAGAGCCAGCCTGGGCTTTAGGATAGAAGGGGAGGGCAGGAGTGGGGGCTCCGGGGACAGGGGCTGGCTGAGGAGGGAGGATGGGGGCAAGAGGACATTCACGGAGCACCCTCTCCCCACCCATCCGCCACCCACTCCTCCCAGCACTTCTTGTGAGGCCTCACTGTCCCCGCCTTTTAGTAAAAAGTAGAGAAACAGCCTCACAGAGGATGACCTGCTTCAGCTCCCCACGCCATGCTGTGGCTGACCAGGGTCGGGACCCAGACGCCACATCCACGGCTCAGGGGTGGGAGCCAAGCCTCACTAGAGTCCACACTCAGGGCCAGGACCCAGGCCACAAGCCCGACCTTTGTCCTTTCCTCGAGCTTGCTGGGAAGCCTAGACTCACCCAACTCCAACCCAAAAAAGGCTGCAACAAACCAGCCTTCCTTGTGATTTCGTTTTATGATTTTCTTTTCACGTTTTCTTACTATGGGAGTTCTCATGGGTACATAAAAATAGACAGCTTAATAAGCTCCACATCCCATCCCCAGCCTCGACAGTTATCAACAGGCTGCCTTTCCTGCCTCAAATCTAGCCCCCCAGGGAAGCCGTCATTTTATCTCATATGGTTTGCTTTTTTTTTTTTTTTGAGCCAGTGTCTCACCCTGTCAGCCAGGCTGGAGTGTGGTGGCGCCATCTCGGCTCACTGCAACATTTGCCTCCCAGGTTCAAGAGATGCTCCTGCCTCAGCCTCCCGAGCCGCTGGAATTACAGGCTCACACCACCATGTCTGGCTAATTTTTGTAGGCTTGGGGTTTCATGATGTTGGTCTCACGATGTTGGCCAGGCTGGTCTCGAACTCCTGGCCTCAAGTAATCTGCCCACCTTGGCCTCCCAAAGTGCTGGGATTACAGGCATGAGCCACCACGCCCAGCCTTGTCATGTGTTTTTAAGCAAATTATTGCATCATACCATCACACCCAAACAATGCTGCTGTGATACACGGCCACCTGTCCAGCCTCCTGTTCTATGGACGAAGATCGCCAGTTTCTCCACTTTCCAGACAAACAAAGCTACTGACGCCCCGACAGGCCATGTGACTTCGCACACAGCAGCCCCCCGGATCAGGGCCCGATCAGAGCCCTGGGGATGCTGGTTGTGCCTGGTGGCATTGCAGGAGGGAGCGAGCCCCGCCTGGACTGTTCCCAGGTGATCACATGCATGCCGCCGGGAGGAGGCAGGAGGGTGGACCCTTGTGAGAGGAACAAGCCACGGGTGCTCTGTCCCCTGGGGTCCCCTCAGCAGCAGGCCTCTATAAATCCCCTCGCCTCATACTGAAGGAGGAGAGAAATGAGTAAGAAATTTAAGTTACCACTAACGTTATTTTTAGAAACTGCAGTATGAAATGAAAAAAAAAAAAAAAAAATGTCTCCAGACTGCCGAGTGGGGGAAATGATAAATCCGTGCCTCCAAATTATACGAAATGCAAGAAAACCACCCAGTGCCAATGACTCAGAGGAGCTGGGGTGGGATTTGGTTAGGATAGGGAACTCCTGGAGGGCCTTCAACTTGGCGGCAAGTTGATGGCACCGCTGTCACCCTGCAGGAATGATCCAGCTCTCTTCCGAAGCCTCCCCAGCTGTTTGCAAGCAGAGCGTGGGAAGCAGGCCGGGCTGAGCGCGTCCAGGGCTCCCAAACTACGCTGGAGCCGAGATCCAGGACTCCCGCCTGAATCGGGATCGTTGGAGCGGGGTGCTGGAGGGAACGCTGAGGCCTCTCAGGTCAATGACCGTGTCCATGCCAAGGCTTGCTGCAGCCCGTGAGCTGAGAGTTGCCACCATCGAGACACCACCCTGTGCAGTGGAGTGGGGCAGGGCAGGACAGAGGGACGGTGTTTGCCCTCCAGACCACCTTGCTGGCCCATGCTGTGCGGCTCAGTCTCCCTCACCCTGGGGCACGGATCAAGCAGGCCTGTCCCCTCAAGTCCTCTAAGAATGCCCCATCTCTGTCATCCTCTGTAACAGTCACTAATGCTTTCTGCCAAGTATTTCCAATTCTCGCCCCTTCTAGGCTCCTGCAGCAATTCCACTCCCAGCCTCCTACTATGTTGGCCAACATTTTGACACGTGAACCTTCTGGGCTGGGCACAGGTCATGTGGCAGAGCCCTTTCCCCTCGGCCATGGGGACTGGCAACATCCGACACGTCGGCTGCTCAGTGAGCCTGGTCCAGGCGTGGCAGTGTGAGGCCGAGTCCCCCAGCCCAGTAGCCCCCCAGTAACCGGGTAACCAATGTGACAGGATGGCCATGGGCAGGCGGGGGGGTGCTTGGTGGGCAGAGGTGGCTTATGTACAACACTGTGCCTGTGACGCTGTGGGAAGCCGACCTCACACCTAACAAAATCGCAGCTCCGGAGGAGGGGCCTGGAAACGATGTTAGTAGTAATGAGTGTTGGTTGCCTTTGGATTGCATTAGAAAGGTATTATAAGGAGATGAGGCACACAGAAAGTAATTATGTGGTTTGTAAGCCAGGATGAAAGGGAATGGAGAGTTCAGTTCAGGAACGTGCAGGACTAGACAGAAGCTCCTCAAATACCAACAGCAAAACAGTAAAATGGAAAGATGCCTGAAGCAACAGCTGCCACGAAAGCTCAGCATCTTCAAGAGGGAAATCAAGGCATAGCCTCACGTCCACTTCCACCACGCCTCTTAAGAAAAACCTCAAATCTTTTTTCCTCTGCTCTCACACAACTACAACAATCAACACAGAAGGCTTCTGTGACCCCAAAATATGTGGAGATTTATCCCCACCAGCAAGCAAGCAGTCAGCGCTACAGCAGACACTGGCTGGGTGTCCTGTAATTTCATCCTGACTCTGCCTACCTGGAGAGAGCTCATATCCCACAGGATGAGGGCTCCGTCCCCGAGACTGCCCCTCTCCCACCTCAGACACCAGTTGCAAGCCTGGGCCTCTGGAACTTCTGACCAAATGGCTATAAATCACGGTCCCACAACCCCTCTTTGGATTCCATTAATTTGCTGGGGCAGCTCATACAACTCAGGGAAACACCTGTGTTTGCCAGTTTGTTATTAAGGACATCGCAAAAGATACAGATGAAGAAACACGTAGGGTAAAGTATGGGGGAAGGGGTGCAGAGCTTCCATGCCCTCCCCAGGGTCCACCCTCCAGGAACCTCCACATGGTCAGTGTTCAGCCATCCTGAAGAGCCCTGTCCTCTTGGGCCTTTCATGGAGACTCATGGGGTGGGCATGATTGACAACCATGTAGAAATGTGACTGGCCCAAAGGGATATGGTCTAAACCCGGCTACGCTGTCTGGTCACTTCTTGGCTTTTCTGGGCAGTGTTCCCTCCTCCAGTGTGTGGGACAAGACCCCCTCTGGAATGAGGAGCTTATGACCCACAGCAGGTTAGGGTTCCACCTGCCCAAAGCAGGCAAAAAGAAGGTCAGAGAGAGAGACTGTTTGTTGTAACAAGGGCTGTGGGAGTTATGACCCAGGAACTGTCGACAAACCCCATATATATGTACATACATACATATATGCATATATGTAAGCCATATGTGTATATATTATATATACATATATGTATATACATATATATGGAGTGTTGTCCACATTTTTTATATATATATATATATATATTTTTTTTTTTTTTTTTTTTTGAGACAGAGTCTCGCTGTGTCCCCCAGGCTGGAGTGCAGTGGTGTGATCTCGGCTCACTGCGAGCTTTGTCTCCCAGGTTCACGCCATTCTCCTGCCTCAGCCTCCTGAGTAGCTGGGACTACAGGCGCCCACTACCGTGCCCGGCTAATTTTTTGTATTTTTAGTAGAGATGGGGTTTCACCATGGTCTCGATCTCCTGACCTTGTGATCTGCCCACCTCGGCCTCCCAAAGTGCTAGGATTACAGGCGTGAGCCACTGTGCCCGGCCTATATATTTTATATATAAAATAATATTACAGTGTCTGAGTGGACAGAAGTGAATCATGTCAGGTGAACACAATGGCTTGGGAAAAACAGATAAAGGGTATGGCATGCATTCCCATGTAAGCTCTATCGCCTCGAGAGGCCTGCCATCATCTCTCTCCATAATTTCAGAAGAAGCTGAACAAACAGCATTTTTAAGAGGATGGTAACACCCAAGAACCTATAAACCTAGAAGAAAACCATCAATTATCACTATCTGCAGCAGTTCATATTCTGAAAAGCCGCTGTAAACATGGAATTAGAGATGAATGAGTCATGCTCCTAGGAGAAAAACAGGGTTAAGGTTCCTGAGAGCTCTGGTCACTAAATTTTCATCAATCCACACCCAATCCTGTTTTATGTGTTTCCGTTTAAAGACACCTGTGTAATATTGTTGACTCACTAACATCAAAGCTTTCTCTAAGATGCCTTTTTTCTCTGTCTGGCGCATGGCAGCCAGCTTCCCTATGCTTAGGACAACTTCAGCACTATGCTTGGGCCAACTTAGCAAAACCACCAAAAAAAAAAAAAAAAGAATGTCACTAAGGAGACCATGGAAAGACCCATGTTTACAGGATGAGCTAGAACAAGAAGGCAGAACATCACTGTGTCCAACCTCAGCTGGAACATGCACATCCCATGTCTGAAACTTCACCCCCCTGTGTGTGTCCAGTGACCTGGAGTGCCCCGAGTATTGATGTGGGGGTTACAAATACATTTTCCCCAGTGGGTGAATTCACAGACTGTATTTGTGATTGTTTGAAAACTTAAGAATAACTCGGGGCTCCCATTCTTTGAGGAGTGGCAGAGAGACTGAGAAAGTGGGGACTCTCCAGTGCCTGAGATGCAGGTGGCCCAGGGGACAGAGCAAAGGAAGGGCCAGCCACTGCCACTGAGAACATGGACTGGGGCCTGCCTAGGGAGGAGAGCTGGGGCCACATCAAGGAGCATCCTTCACCACACTGGGACCTCAGGCTGGCTGCACTCCACGATTGCCATGTGCTTGCCACTCTGCCCCTCTCTGAATGGGGCTGGTTGCTATTCTCTCTGCTCCCACATTTCATAGTAAATGGGTAGGAGAAGTAAATTACTTGTCTTTCCATTTCATAGGTCTTCAGTCCAGAAAGGGCCTGTCCAGACCCACTGAGGACCACTGGGCACCACCCACAATGGAGAGACCACCTAGATCACCAGGGCAGCCGTAGCACTTCAGGCAGGACTGGCGGGAACTTCAGGTGGGAGGGAAAGAATGAACTTCATACGTGAGGGGAAGAAACTTGACCTTGGGATGGCCATATGACGTCAGCGCTGCTCAGTTACTTCTGGTTTCTCTACTCTGGAAGGGTGGCAGTACAGCAGGCGGATCCCCAGCAAACAGACTGATTCGGAGCCTAGCAGGCAGGAGGCTCATCGGGAAGTTCCCTTGGGGTCAAGGGCCATGGGAAAGAGGCAGCAGAGGATGGCACAGGGAGAGAGGACGGCAGCCTTGGGCCCCCATGGAGAGAGACAACCAGCCCATCACGCTTGGCCCAGACAGCCACGCCGACCTTCCCTAGGGGTTGTTCAGGCCTCCTCTGTGGCAGGTGCTTTCTGGGAGCAGCTGCCTGTTACACACAGATCTTTGCACCTCCTGCCCACTCCTCCATGTCCACCCCATGCCTCAGCCCCGACTGCCCATCCCCACTCTCCACATCACTCCCATTCTGGGCTCAGCTGGCAAAGTCATTGGCCATTGCCCATGGATTCAGAGATCTTCTAACCTCACAGCCACTTACACAGAGGGGATGACCACTGGGAGAACGTTCCTTCATCACCCTCTGTGTTAGTCCGTTCTCACATTGCTATAAAGATACTACCCAAGACTGGGTAATTTATAAAGAAAAGAGGTTTCATTGACTCACAGTTCTGCATGGCTGGTGACGCCTCAGGAAACTTACAATCATGGCGGCAGGGGAAGCAGGCACGTCTTACGTAGTGGTGGGTGAGAGAGACAAGTGCAAGCAGGGGAATTGTCAGGCACTTATAAAACCATCAGATCTCATGAGAACTCCCTTACTATCACCAGAACAGCGTGGGGGAAACCGCCCCGATGATCCAATCACTTCCCACCAGGTCTCACCCTCCTCACGTGGGGATCACAGTTCAAGATGAGATTTGGGTGGAGACACAGAGCCAAACCATATCACGCTCTTGAAAGGGCAGCCTGGTGAGGCTGGAGTATGGCAGCCGGGAGATTTGGGCTGGCCCCACAGGTGGAGCAGACACCTCCGTGAACTAAGGCTAGGCTTGTCCCTCCCTCCTCAGTTCACTGGAAGGTTCCTCCACTGGGGCTCTGAGGACTGCTGTGGAGCGTGGCAGGGTACTGGGCGACTGCCACTGCTTGGCCTCCTGCTCCTGCTTCTACTGCTGCCACACGCACCCTCCCACATGTAATGGGTTATTTCTGAGTCCCCAACCTCATAACCCAGGGGCGTGACAGAATCCAGCTCATCTGAGCAGGTCCACATGCACAATCAGGCATTCCATCACCCCAGACCCCAGGAGCACATCAGCAGGGACTTTTCAGAATATTTTGCAGAATCCTCTCCCGCAGATGGCATGGCTTTGTTCCCACATCCCAGGGGCCTGCACTGCGATTCTGGCATAGGGGCTTGCCATAAACACACAGCATTGCTTTCCCACGTCTGATACCTCTCATAACACAGGGTCTGACCAGCTGCAGGGCCTGAGTCACAGGACTGCCCACACTACAGCCTCGACCTGCTACAGGCTCAGTGAAGGCCGACAGCTTCTCGTATCAATGGTACATAGACTGGAGTGGTCTTCACGGGTGTGGGATGTGCTGCCTGCAGAAGGTGTACTGGCATTTTCTGTCTCTCTTGGTTGGGGGAGATGCAAGATACAATAATTGGCTCTTTGCTGTGGATGGGAGGTCCTGTATGCTCCTCGTTATGGGACCTCCCCGGCAAGAGTGTTATTAGTGGCAGTTCCCAGAATGTTCGTAGGATTTGTCCGCCAGCTGCAGGCACTCAGGCATCTTACCAAGACTCCCAGTGTGTTAGCCACTTCTTGGTTAGCACCCGACCAGCACAGTGTAATCAATGTGGAGGGCCAGTGTCATGCTCTTTGGGATGTCCAGCTTGTCCAGCTCTCTCTGGGCTTCCTTAGGGCATAGAACACATGGGTTATTAGCACATAACCCTGAGGCAAAGCCAGGGTCCACTGTTATTCATCCTATGCGAATGCAGGCTCTTTCTGATGCTCTTTCCTCATAGGAATAGAAAAGAATGCACTTGCCATCTCAGTGGGGCAGAGCACACACCTGAGGCTGTGTTGACCCACGTTGACTGAGATCCCGTGCCTGGCAGGGCAGCTGCCGCTGTAGATTCTCCTTGGTGCAACTTGCTGAAGTTCACTCTCTTCCTCCAGGAATCTTCTGTTTCTGCAGAAGCCAGCCTGGTAAATTAAATAGAGACATATTGAAGACCACCATCCCCATCCTTCAGCTCCTTAAGAGTAAAACTGAGGGCTGTGCATGGTGGCTCACGCCTGTAATCCCAGCACTTCGGGAGGCTGAGGCAGGCGGATTGCCTGAGGTCAGGAGTTGGGGACCAGCCTGGTCCAACATGGTGAGACCCGTCTCTACTAAAAATGTAAAAATTAGCTGGGCGTGGTGGCAGGCACCTGTAATCCCAGCTACTCGGGAGTCTGAAGCAGGAGAATCTCTTGAACCTGGGAGGCAGAAGTTGCAGGGTGCAGTGAGCCAAGACCTCGCCACTGCACTCCAGCCTGGGTAAGGAGCAAGACTCCATCTCAAAAAATAAAAATAAAAAAAGAGTAAAACTGATTTCCATCACTCCCCTCACCTGGAGATGCAATATTGTTTCTCATTTACTATCTTAGCCAGAGGTGGGGGCGTTTTCAGAGGCTTCCATTTGCCATTTCCCATGATGACTGTTCTTACCCCATAGGCCAAGACTCAAAGTACCAACTGTCAAGTTTGTCTACCTTAATTATAACATGGGAACCAGGGACATGGCCATGCGGGGAGTGAGAGTCCTGGACCCAGTGAGCCCATTGCAAGAAAGTCCTTGCCAAGACTCTATTACCTGTCTCCGCTGTACCCCATCTTCAAAAGGGGGGCAGTGATGACATTTTGAGTCTTTAGATATCAATGTCAACTCTAACCATATCTAGCTGTCCTTAGAATATTTGGATATTCCCCTCTCCCCGATATATAAATTGCCCATGCAAATGGCTGTAGTTCTCTTTGGGGAAGGAATGGGAAAATTGCTATCAAGTTCACTTGCTGTAGTGTTGTGTGGTCCTTTCTCCCAAGCACTCAGCCTTCTCTTTAGTCAACAGATCAGGCCTGTATAAACTGGCTCAGGTCCAGAAACTGAGCAGAGGTTGTGATTTTTTAATAGGGTCTCTGTCCTTATCTCCTAGGTCATCTGTCCTTGTTTGCTTCTGATGGGTCCAACTGAGTAGCACCCTTGTTGCTTTCACATATATTTTGCCTTTAAGGGTGCTACATTCTATTAACCATCTTCATAAACTCTGCAGGTCGGGCCCATTTGGCTGCCACTCTGACCTTTCTGCTCCTTGTGACAACTACACCCACTGGTCTTCTGACAGTTAAGCACTGACCCCAGGTGTCTTAGTCACCTTGGGCTGCTATGACAGAATACTGTAGGCTTATAAACAACACAAGTGGGCCAGGCACAGTGGCTCATGCCTGTAATCCCACCACTTTGGGAGGCCAAGGCAAGTGGATCACCTGAGGTCAGGAGTTCGAGACCAGCCTGGCCAACATGGTGAAACCTTGTCTCTACTACAAATACAAAAATTAGCTGGGCATGGTGGCAGGTACCTGTAATCCCAGCTACTCAGGTGGCTGAGGCAGAAGAATCACTTGAACCTGGCAGGTGGAGGTTACAGTGATCCGAGATCACAGCATTATCCTCTAGCCTGGTGACAGAGTGAGACTCCGTCCGGAAACAAAACAAAACACAAAAACCCACACAAGTCTATGCCTCACAGTTCTAGCAAGATCAAAGCAGATTTGGTGAAGGCCCACTTTCTGGCTCAAAGATGGTGCCTTCTTGCTGTAGCCTCACATGGTAGAAAGAGGGTGAGGGGTCTCTCTACAGGGCCTCTAATGCCATTCTTGAGGGCTCCACTCCCATGACCTAATCACCTCCCAAAGGCCCCTGGTCCTAATGCCACTACCTTAGGGGTTAGCGTTTCAACATGAGAATCTGGAGCAGCACAAGCGTGCTTTCACAGCACCTGGCCCCTATTGTTCTGGTGTCCTTTTATCTCTATCACCCTCGGTGAGCTGTTCTGATGGACTTTCCTACAGTGAGCCCTGGCCTACCCAGGAGACCACTACTGACAGTGAAGCTGGTGCTTTTCTTGCCAATGCATGTCATGTGCCTTTGGTCCATGGTGAGACCTCCAGGACTTCCCATAGACTGTAACCATCTGGTAGGTCTGGAGCCTCACATGGTCTACCCATGCCAGGAAGCCCCCTTCTAAAGCCTTGGAAGAAGAGATTGCTTCCTCTCTGCCATCTGCCATGACAATTCTGTGCATACAGGACTGCCCTCTGAAAGGGCTTCATCAAGGGGACTGAGACATAGGAAGATAAGGAAGAACATTTACTTTCTGGAAAACTTAATTACTAGTGCAAGACCTTATTGAGCCATTGTTCTGTGGTGGGCAGGTCTATGCAAACCTACCCCAAAATCCAAGGAAACTGAGAGGCAGAAGAAACAGGTTGCCAAATCCAGTTTCTCAGAAAGAAACATTTAATAGGAACTCATGAAGAGAAACCATGTTTATAACCACTCAGTGGGTTTACTTTGCCTGCTGCCCAGGTAGAGCCAATTAATCGAGGCAGGGGAATTGCAATCGAGAGTTTTACACACATAGAGCCTGCTAAGCAGAAGACTGCAGTTTTATTATTACTTACATCAGCCTCCCTGAGAATGTGGGGGTTGGATTTTTCAAAGGTAGTTTGGGGCCAGATGCAGTGGCTCATACCTGTAATCCCAGCACTTTGGGAGGCCAAGGGGGCAGATCACCTGAGGTCAGAAGTTTGAGACCAGCCTGGCCAACATGATAAAAACCCCGTCTCTACTAAAAACACAAAAATAGCCAGGCGTGGTGGCGTGCGCCTGTAATTCCAGCTACTGGGGAGGTTGAGGCAGGAGAATCACTTAAACCCGGAAGGTGGAAGTTGCAGTGAGCCAAGATCATGCCACTGCACTCCAGCCTGGGTGACAGGGGGAGACTATCTCAAAAAGAAAAGAAAGGAAAGGAAAGGAAAAGAAAGGAAAAGAAAAGAAAACAAAAAGAAAAGCTAAGCTTTGGGGGAAGGATTTGGGGTGGCTAGGCAATGGGTGCTTGCTGCTGACTGGTTGTAGGTGCAATAATAGGGGTGTGGGAAATGGTTCTCCTGCATGCTGAATTGCCTCTGGGTGGGACCACAGGAGTGGTTGGTGGGTTCAGGTAGAGCCATCAGTGAGTGGGGCCAGGTGGAGCTATCAGTGTTAGACATGCAAAAAACCCTGAAATGATACCTCAAAGGCCAATCTTGGGTTCTGCAATAGTGATGCTATCTGCAGGAGTAATTGGAGAAGTTGCATATCTTGTGACCTCCAGAATAGTGGCTGGCAATCGTCTCTGTCTACCAGGCTTCTCTATCCTCCTAACCTGGTGGTCTCTCATTAGCTTTACAAAGACAACTGAGTTTTGAGAAGAGGCTATTATCACTTAAACTATAAATGTCTCCCAGAGTTAGCTTGACCCAAGCCCAGGAATAATTAAAGGCAGCTTGAAGTCAAAAGGCAAGATGGGGGTTGGCCGGATCAGATTTCCTTCACTGCCATAATTTTCTGTTATAATTTTTGCAAAGGTGGCTTCATGTTTGTGTCTCGGGTGGTGACACTAGATGGTGGATTCCCCCTGGATCCACCCATCACCCCCTTACCCAGGGCTTACATACCATAGAGGAGGAGTATATGTGATTCAGAAGGGATGTATGAGACAACTGAAGTATGATAACATCCACGTTGTCTGACCTAAGGGCAGGATTTATGGCACCTGCTCTTAGGCAAGGAACAGTAGATAAACTGGAAATCTTAGAGGCCTTCCTGGAACTGTGGTTAATCAGAAGCCAGCATGGCTGATTATCTTCCACAATGGAGTTGCCGTGGCCTCCATACTCCCCCGACTAATCCAGCTCTTACAATCTAAGGTGCCCTCCTCTTCCACGATGGTCCCTGAGCCTTGAGGGAGGGTGCTTGGTATGGTATTGTTTTAATAGCAGTGCACTGGCAACAGAAAACAGCCCAGCAGGATTCTAAATGGGGGGGGGGGGGATTCACAGGCCCTGCTGAATCATCTCTAGTCTTCAGAATACCAAGACCGTGGTCTTCTCAGAAGTCAGACAATGAGAAATACATAACATTAATAATTTGCACACAGGATTACAATCAAATAAGAATTTGTGTGCCAGAACAATGAAAAAGAACTTATCCCATTAAGGAGCCAACTAAAAGCATCATGAAGAAAATTAAAACCTGGGTTTTTTGGTCTGTTTTTGTTTATTTGCTTGCTTGTTTTGAGATGGAGTTTTGCTCTTGTTGCACAGGCTGGAGTGCAATGACACGATCTCAGCTCACTGCAACCTCCGCCCCCTGGGTTCAAGCAATTCTCCTACCTCAGCCTCCCAAGTAGTTGGGATTACAGGCATGTACCACCATGCCTGGCTAATTTCTGTATTTTTAGTAGAGACAGGTTTTCACCATGTTGGCCAAGCTGGTCTCAAACTCATGATCTCACATGATCCGCCTGCCTCGGCTTCCCAAAGTGCTGGGATTACAAGCGTGAGCCACCACACCCAGCCAAAATCTGGTTCTTTCTCAAAGACTTCTTGTAGCCAAGAAATAATCCAGGATTAGCCCAGGTTGTAGACAAATAATAAAAACACAATGAATGGTCAGGGCTAGAATCTAAATTTTTCTCTCCCCAGTAGCTTGAACCTGGGAGGCAGAGGTTGCAGTGAGCCAAGATTGCACCACAGCACTCCAGCCTGTCCAACAGAGCAAGACTCCATCCCATAAATAAATAAATAAATAAATAAATAAATAAATATTCTCTCTCCAGTTTCCTCATCTCTATCAAGGATAAATTATATTAGGACCAATTTATTTGCATAATAAACTTTGGCCACATTATACTGAGGTGGGAAATTAAAGAAAGAAAGAAAAATAAAATTAAAAGAAAGAGAATTAAGCTTTCCTGTATTAGGCTGACTCATCCCAAAGGCAGTAGCAGGCAAGACCCAGACCCAGGAAAAGTCTTGATAAACACTATCTGAGAAGCTAGGACACAAAGGAATGTGCTCTGGAGACTCTCCCAGAACTCCCTCAACATAGGAGGAGAAAAACACATTTTCCTTTCTTTTACAGTATGAGTTTATAAATTCTTGTTCTCTGTAACTTCAAGTATTCTGTTTTATCTAAGAAGTACAGTGAAGGTCATAAGAAGCCTGAGCAGGCCTGAACTACAGCTGTCTGGGCACCATACTGAAGGTTATGAGATAAACCAGTGTAAGGCTCTTTGGAGCAAAACCTGGATAACAGACATCTAGGTTGTTTGGCAACAGTCATGTGTAATCCTGAGTTATGAACCTGTTACAATTTGATTAACTGTCTTTGTCCTGCCTCTGTATCCCTGCTTTCACACTGCTGTGAGCCTGCTTCAAGCTAGCCCACCCCCTTTTATGAAGCGTGTACAAAAGTCAAGTGCTGTCTTTGTTCTGGGCCCAGTTTTCCAGATGTTAAGTCCGCTAGGTCTGAGTGCACTCAATAAACATCCTCCTGCTTTACCCTGAGGTCTCTCTCATCCTCCTGATTCCCGCAACAATACTTGGCCTGGTTATTTGCATAAAATGTAGCAAATGACCAACTCTATAGGTTCCTTTTAAGTTTGTTTTGCTGGAACTTTTCTAAGGAATTGTGGATTCAACTTTTTAAAAGTCTTGAGGCCAGAAGCCGAGCCAAGGATTTGACATTACACTGTGCTTAGAATCCCTGTGCAAATTACCCTCTTCTTGAGGTCTCAAGATAGCTTGAGTTTCCTAGACCTGTTAGAAAGTGGCATTCTTTACTTACCACAGGTGGGAAACTTTGTAAGGGAACCACTTAGACAAAGGCACCACGCCAGTCCTTCCAAGGGCCTTTTTGTTGGCTCCAAAGTCAACCTCAGTCTCTCAGTCCTGTCATGTCTCAAAATATGCTATTCCAACCAAAGCCTTAATAAAATGACCAGTGTCTCTAATTGTGTCCTGTTCAGTAAGAAAGCAGATTCTGACTGAACTTATGCAAATAACTATGTTGCCATAAAATAGGAATACTCACAAATGATTTTCAAGTTTTGGATAACTAAAACAGAGAGAGGGATAAATTTTGCTCACAAAAATACACTTTACTCAGCCAGGCATGGTGGCTTATGCCTTTAATTCCAGCACTTTGGAGGCCAAGGCAGGTGAATCATTTGAGGTCAGGAGTTCGAGACCAGCCTGGCCAACATGGTGAAACCCCATCTCTACTAGAAATACAAAATTTAGCCAGGTGTGGTGGCAGATGCCTGTAATCCCAGCTACTCAGGAGGCTGAGGCATGAGAATCGCTTGAACCTGGGAAGCAGAAGTTGCAGTGAGCTGAGATCTCACCACTGCACTCCAGCCTGGGCAATAGAGCAAGACTCAGTCTCAAAAAAAAAATACACTTTACTCAATCATTGTAAGCTATCAATAGCTCAAAAGAGAAAAGTTTTCTTGACTCTTCTTCAATCAGAGCAGCTTTCCAAACAATATGTCTTTTTGCTCACCTTGGAGCTGCCATCTGCAAGCCAAGCAGGTCTTTGTGCATCAGGTGAGAGCTTTTCATCAGTCACTGTTGAATCCAGCAGCTCCTCATGCAGTTCCAGAGTCAGTCCTAGGGAAAAGAAGAGGCCCACTGTCCATGAGTATCTCCTCCTCACACTCCCCAGGTACCAAGATTTTATGTAAACCATTTTCATCTTGCCATGGAACTCTTAGGCACCATTATTTCATTAGAATGGGGTATCTTCAGTTAACGTCCCATAGCAAGGCAATAAATGCCCTTAGGTGGAATTCTCTAGTCCAGAAACTTGTAGCTGTAGTTGGGAGGCGCTCACAGGCTTTTGCCATAAACCCCTGTAAACAATCCACAAAGGGCTGTCAAATGGAAAATGTGTCTCAACCAGCACTCCAACTTCTACTCTACACTCTGTGGGCTCTGGCAATCGTACTAGTTCCTGTGAACTCCAAATATCTGAAACGGGTCTCAGGCAATTTGGGATGTTTATTTTACCAAAGTTAAAGACATGTGCCCATGACACAGCCCCAGGAAGTCCTGACAACATGTGCCCAAGCTGGTTGGGGCACAGCTTGGTTTTATACATTTTAGAGAGACATGACACATCAATCAATATATGTAAGATGTACATTGGTTCAGTCCAGAAAGGTGGGACAACTTGAAGGGGGGAGGGGGCTTCCAGGTCATCAGTAGATAAGAGACAAGTGGTTGCATTCTTTTGAGTTTCTGATTAGCCTTTCCAATGGAAGCAATCAGATATGCACTTATCTCAGTGAGCAAAGGGATGACTTTGAATAGATTGGGAGGCAGGTTTGCTCTAAGCAGTTCCCAGCTTGACTTTTCCCTTTAGCTTAATGACTTTGAGGTCCCAAGATTGTTTTCCTTTCACATCCCCATTTAGCATTTCCAATTAACATAGCTCAAAGGGTGGATCTGCGTGCCTTCAGTTTTATAGTACTAAGCAGGAGAAATGCCCCACAGTTAGATACTAGACCCACTTTCATAAAACATTTTGGCAAAGGAGTCACAACGGCTTTGCATAAAGCCTGTTTAAACATTTCAACTTACACAATCCTATCAACTTTTCTTTTGTATGCTGTGGTCCTATCAGGGGTGGAAAATATCTGAGTCTCATGGTACCAAATGTTACCAGTAGAAGTATCCGATTTACTAGCAGTGAATCCTCATGGGTCTGCAGCAACCTCAATTCTTGCCTCCTCAGAAGAAAGAATTAGACTGAGGGGTACAAGGCAGAAAAAGACACCGAGGCAACTTTCAGAGCAGGAATGGAAGTTTCTTTTAAAAGGCTTTAGATCTCTTCCGGTTCTAGGCGCTTCCGGAGCCGCGGCTAAAGGTGCAGACATGGCCAAGTCCAAGAACCACACCACACACAACCAGTCCCGAAAATGGCACAGAAATGGTATCAAGAAACCCCGATCACAAAGATATGAATCTCTTAAGGGGGTGGACCCCAAGTTCCTGAGGAACATGCACTTTGCCAAGAAGCACAACAAGAAGGGCCTAAAGAAGATGCAGGCCAACAATGCCAAGGCCATGAGTGCACGTGCCGAGGCTGTCAAGGCCCTCGTAAAGCCCAAGGAGGTTAAGCCCAAGATCCCAAAGGGTGTCAGCCGCAAGCTTGATCGACTTACCTACACTGCCCACCTCAAGCTTGGGAAGCGTGCTTGTGCTCACATTGCCAAGGGGCTCCGGCTGTGCCGGCCAAAGGCCAAGGCCAAGGCCAAGGATCAAACCAAGGCCCAGGCTGCAGCTCCAGCTTCAATTCCAGCTCAGGCTCCCAAAGGTGCCCAGGCCACTACAAAGGCTACAGAGTAGGTATCTCTGTCTGCCAACGTGAGGACAGAAGGACTGGTGCAACACCCCACCCCCACCTCTGGGCTGCCATCTGCATGGGGCTGGGGTCCTCCTGTACTATTTATACAAATAAACCTGAGGCAGGAAAATAAAAATAAAAATAAAAGGCTTTAGAACAGGAAAAAATACACTTGGAAGAGACCCAAGTGGGCGCATGAAGGTTAAGTGCAGTGTTTAACCATGATCCTAGGACTTTACAGGCTGGCCCCTTTCCCATGGTTCTTCCCTTCGGGTGGGCTGCCTGCATGCACAGTGCCTCCTTACCCTTGGGAGGTGAGTACACACAGTGTGATTAGGAAGTTGTACGCATGCCCCTCTGAGACTTTCTTCCCTTTTCCTGTGGTGTGCCCCTGGAAGGTCACATTCCACCATTTTGTACCTTAATGCACATGGCCAGGAAGTTGCTCCTCCCTGGTGCCTGCATTCAATGAACACTTTACTGCAACAGGTGTGGAGCATCAGGAAATGGACTCTACCTGGTGCCAGCTGTCAATTTATCCATTTCAGACAGGCAATGTGATAATTGCCAGACCATCACCTGACATTCCTAGGGGATGGGGGAGAGCCCTCTCCTGCCCCACTCGTGCCTGCCACCTTTCCCCACCTCAACAGCCCAAGACTGCAAATCTTTGGGAAAAATGGATGAAGGTCAGTCTTCTGTGACTGCTTCCCACTGACAAAGGGGCAGTGGTGGTTCTCTGGGTCTTGGCCTCTTGCTAGCTGACAGGGTAGGAGGGTGACTCCAAAGGTTGGTGAAAGCAGTGTCTATCCAAGTCCAAGGCAGACAGGGGCAGGATTTTGCCTCCTTTCTGCCTCACTGATGGCAGTCTAGGGGTCCTATGTAGAAAGGAATCTCTTGAATATTGAGAGGATGATATCACTCACTGAGGATCATCTGGAGCTTGATGGCCAATCCCTTTTGTTTCTTCTTAGCTGCAGCCAGAGATCACTGGTTGGCTCATGGGAATAAGCAGGGTTAGTATAAAATGCAGACAAAAACTTAGAAACAGCTGAGAAGTCTATCATCTGATAGTAGGTACTATTAGACTAGAATCTAATAGTAGGTACTACAATTTTTGAAACATAATTTTTCTCCCTCTAGTCCGCATTTTTGTTGAAAACAAATATGACAGGACTAATTTGTTTGCAGAATAAACTTCAGTCTTATTATTCTTGACCTGATTACTTGCATATAGCACAGCAAGAATAATTATTTTTCACATAAGCTTTTCAAATTGGCTTTGATGGAACTCTGTTTCATAAGGAATCTTAGATGAGACTTTTTTAAAGCCAAGCCCAGCTATGATTTTGTACCCTCAAATACCTGTGAGTTGGGAAAATTTCTGTCCTCTTGAGGTTCCAAAATAACTTGGGGCTCCTGGGCCTGTTAGAAAGTGATATTCTTTACTCATCGCAGGTTAGGAAATCTGTACAGGGAGTGTGTAGACAAGGTATGAGGCCAGTTTTCCCAAGGGGATTTTATTGACTCTACAAGTCAGGTTTGATTCCTTAAAGGAAAGCATGCCATTCCAGTTAGAGCCTTGGTAAAATAACCAGTTTCTCCAACTGCATCCTCTTGCCAAAAAAAACCAAAAAACAAAAAACAAAACAAACAAACAAAAAACACCATTCTTATTGCACTTACATAAATAACTATATTACCATAAGTTTAGAATACTCACAAATAGTTCCCAAATTCTAGAGAAATCAGGCAGAGAGAATCAAATAGGCTCCAAGTTTTTTCACAGAAGTATTTTACTCAATTGTTAAAAGCTGTAACTAGCTCAAAAGAAAAGTTTTTTTGGCTCTGAAAAACAACAAAGATTAGTGACATTTTAAGTTACAAAGTCAAAAAGGATTACTTCAGTCTTCTATTAATTCAATCCATTCCATTAACTCCTGTTCTGTTTGATATTCATGAATATTTTACCTCTCCATTAGAGTCCTGAAAGGTTTTTTCCTTTATTCTAATGTCACAATCTCCAAAGTTATCAGAAAGTTGCATTTAAGAACACCTATTAGAGTTCTGTAGCTGATTATAAAACCAACATTTAAAGAGGATTAAAATAAGACAATAATCGTGGATGACAAAAAGTCTTAGGGCACCCACAGTTAAAGACACAATTGACAAGGAAATGTGTTACCTCTGTGGCACACAACAATTTTAGATAACAATTCTAATGATTAATAATATACACTAAGTTATATCAGAATTCCATAATTTTGGAAAACATACCAGTGACATATTTACACAAATACAGACCAAAGAAAGAACTCTTAGCAACTTTTGATAAAAAGCCTGGTTAGTAAGTAATTTTAATTATGTACTAGGTTTGGAGCCTAGGACACCAGAGAGAAGTGTAGATAAGATCTGATTCTTTCCAGCATAGCTAGGGGTATGGCTAACTCTACCTGTCCCCAAGCCTTACCTAGGGTGTAAATCAGGCTAAACAATTTTCAAAATCCAAAGACACAGTTTGTGACCTTAAAACATTTAGCAAACCTAGTATCTGACTTGCATAATTTAGACCAAATGTCTAAATTTTTGAAGATATTTTTATTTTACCAATAATCTTTAAAACTGTCTTTATTCCCCAAAGATTATTTAAGTTACATGAACTAAGAGGCATTAGTTTTATTTTTCTGACAATATTTAAGTCCTTATTTTTTAAACCAATTAGAGTTCTTTTACATAAACATCACACACACAACACATATAAATACATGGACAGACAGAAGATTCAGTAAGATTTTTTATTTGCCAGGAGTTTTTAAGTTTCTTAATTGGATTATTGGCTCCAGGGTGGAGCTCTTCCAGAAACAGGGCTGGGAAAGCATGCAGCTTCCAGTGCCTAATAAACAGGTGCACCTGGAAGGCAAAAACAGATCCCCAAAATTAGGAGTCCCATTTTACACCAGATCCTGGATCCCAAGAAAGAGGGAACCAGCCCATTTCCTATAGAGGTTTTATCTCTCAGTGGAGGAGGGGGACGTTTCCATATCTTCCAGGTGGCTGAGAGCATGCTTCTCTAATCCAAACGTCAAAGAGCTGAGTATTCCCCCCAAAACTGCCATTAGCCATCCATAAAATTCTATTAGCTACCTAGTTATTACCAAAGTTCTCTCATAATGTGAAGTAATTTCTGCTACTGCCAAAAGTCAAAAAACATCAGGTAACACAATGCAAAGAAAACAGAGCCTCAGGTTTTGAGAGGGATCTATCCACTTCCAATTCCTGGGGTTCCATGAGGAAAACAGAGGTTTTTCCCAAAAGGGGGGTCTGTGGCACCTCCTCTGTTTTTCCCAAGGAGACCCAAGCTGTTAGAAATTATCTTGGGTACTCTCACGTGTGCATCAAGAGTGGCAAGAAGACAAAATGGAGAAAAACAATCAGTTGACTGAGAAGAAAAAAACTTTTTTTTTTCCCCAGAAAAAAAATAAGATTCAAGAAGAGAAAAAAAACAAAGACCTTTTAAATATATGTATAGCTTGGATATCTGCTTTTAATTAAGCCCATTTTAACCGTAATGCTCTTAAAACAAAGCCTTTAAGTCTCTTATTACCCAACTTTAGCCAGGTAATAAGAACGGCCAATATTTCTGGCTTTTGAACTTTGCCAACAGTAACCTCACAGGTGAAACCAATAAGCCTTAACTAATGTTATGATTTATCCACGAGTGTATGAGGTATTTTCA